CAGCTAAGATGATTGATTAAAAACAGAACAACTGTCTTCAAGGTATTCCATGGCTCAGCTCTTCCACTGAATTGCACTTGCCTGGTCTCCTACCCTTGCTGTGTATGTGATCCTGGGAGGAGGTGTGCTGCTACCACAACTATTTGTGAGAGGGATGTAGCATGGGAGCCTTCACCAGATATTGAGGAAAAGTAGCATTGAGCTGGGAAGCCCAAACATACACAGAAGAAACCTTATCATAATTATTCTCTTCCAGTGTAGCCCAGCATATATCTGGAATTATATATATATATATATATATATTGAAAAATTCTACAGGATTGTTCATGCCAAGATTGCCAAAGATGATTTATTTCTTAAATGTCTTTTAAGGGACAACCTGCAAAAGCAAACAAGCTTTGACAAAAACTGTTCAGCAGTGCCTTTGTGTTTGTGTATTAGAATATGGTGGAAAAAGCAAACCAGTTATTAATTACAAAATAGTGGTTGTCTCTAATAATGTGTTTTAATAATATGTCATGTTACTACAGAAGGTGTGAATATTTGGTGCCTCTGGTGTCCCTAGGTTTAAAAGGATTCTATTGCAATTTTTTAGTAATACATGTTACAATTTCCTCTCTCTTTGTGATGTGAATGTAAATTACTTTGAACTAAATGGTAAAAAGTGAATACCTGCCCAGCTGGTGTCAGTGGTGAGGGAGTGACACCAGCACCCATCCTGCTGTTCAGAGACATTTCCACACTTGGACCTCAGAACTGCTTTGCTAAAATAGGTGAAAAGTTAATAAACCTTTCACATCTCACCAGCTAGGTAAGCATTGCTGCAAAGGACATCTGACCTGAGCTGGAGGTTTAAAAGAGCCTCTGTGTTCTGGTTTTGGTGTGGCTTCTCCTGGGGAGCCCCACACTCTGCCATACCCCTATGTCCACTCCCTGTCTGGGATGGGCACTTTCCTAACTTTCAAGAGGTCCTTACTACCCCTTGCAAAGTGGTATTTAGCATTGAAACTGGGAAGTTTTATGTGTCACATTGGTATTTCAAGCTCTCCTTAGCAGATCTTTGGTAGCAGGCAGGTGTGATTCACACTGTGGTGCCAGACAGATGGGTGTCATGGGCTGTGGGTAAAGCCACCTCCTGCCTCAGGCTCGGACCTGCCTGATCCCAGCAGCTGTGGTCCAGGGGAGCTTGTGTGAGCAGAGACACAAACCAGCCTCAGGAGATGTGAAGTTTTGTGACAGACTTGAGGTGAGATCCCACTCTTTTCCCAGTGTTTTTTATCCCACGGGATGTCTCTGGTCACACTGGGATTCACTGGGTTTGTGTTTAGGTGCCAGCTTTTCCCCAGCATCTCATTTGAACACTCTGTCTGATTGCTTAAGTCAATATCTCTCTTCACGTTTTCCTTAGGAAGCTTTTTATAAAATACCAGTCCAGCTGGCTCAGCTGCAACTTCTGGAGGGGGTGATTTGGGCTGCCATCAGCCAAAGTACTCACTGGAAGTAAAACAATCATATGAATAATGGTGCTTACAAAGCCCTCAGTGCTACCAAATCCTGCCTTGGACAGCTGGTCTGGGTTTTTCAGTGCCACTTTTTCAAAATAAAAATAATGTAGCCCTCTCTTGCTTATATCTTTAAACTATTATTTTTTAAAGATGGTAATGATGACTATTAATTAGACAGCTACATGGTTGCTAAAGCAGATATCAATACTTTCACTGGGTGGATTGAAAGAGGGAATCACAGAATGACAGAACCACAGAATGGGTAAGGTTGGAAGGGAACCACAGTGGGATAAAATATTTGTACATCCAGAAGTTAGCTAATATTAATTCTGAGTAGTTGCACTGTAGCCAGAAATAAAATTTCAAATTTTTTCATGTGTGAACCTCAGTTACTGTTTATTATAGCTCTTACAGGTCTGCTTCTCTTACATGGCCTTTGCAAAATGCACTGACTTTGTGTAGTCACCTCTAATTTGCTGGAAGCCCAGTCTGCTGAGATGTTTATAAAGTGAAATCTCTTCCTAATGAAGAGTGAGAGTAGGACGTGAGATGATCATAGCAAGCAAGTTTTTCTTCTGAATTACCTGTGTTAAAGCTTCTTGCATGAGAGGCTTTCTCTGCTTGCTAACTCAGCTGAGCTGTCTGGTCACCTCCACCTTTCTCTTGCAGTTGAGCTATGTGCAGAGATTCATAGAACCATTAGAAAATTAATTTCAGCATAAAAGAGGGCAGATCTGCAATTACAGCTATATTTTGTTTTATTTTCTAGTTGTTAAGTGTGGGATTTATGCTTATTTATCTTTTTTTTAACTCCTGAGAAGATCCAGACACAAAGCATGGCATATTTCAGCAAAGAGGATTCATGGTGGTTTGTTGTGCCATCTCAGAACAAGTGCATATTGCAAGTTTAATGGGATAAGTTGGATTTAATAATTGGTTTATTAGGTTATTCTTATATTTTTGTAGCAAGCAGGCAGCAGACCTGGGCTCCAGGTGGGCTCCAACAGCATTTTGTCTCCTGGTGCTTTCATGGTACCATGTAAAGCAAGCATGTATGTGTAGAGTATTGGATAAGTGTGTGTCAGGTTCTGTGGGATGGAGTGATGAGCTGCTGAGGGGACTAGCAGGAGGATGGGGCACTTTCCTTGCCATTTTTTTGTCTCCTTTGTTTCCTTGTTCTCGTTCCAGTTGGACACAAGTCCAGTCCAGGAGTGAGCAAGTGGTGGCTGTGCAGCCATCTGAGAAGGCTCGAGCAGCTCAGTGCTTTGTGCTGCCTCAGGGAGTGGAAACTGCTCCATGTCCTTCAAAACCTGTCTGCCCTTTTACAGCCTGGGAGTCCTGGCTCTCTCTGTCTGCCCCTGGCTGGTCCAGAGTGTACATCCAAAAATCTGTCTCTGTTGGTTTCAGAAGAGAAACCAAAGTGCCTGTCCTGTGGATTGTCCTGATTTCTCATTCTTACAATTGTTTTTTATTTTTCTATTTGTTAAGGAAAACATAAGCAAAGTGCATCAGCTAGTCAGGAGCTAGAAATGTATGCAGCTGGTCCAAATCAAACCTTTTCAATGAGGAAAGGATAGGCTTTGGTCTCCAGTCTTTCAGTTCAATCATCCTAAAAGCACTGCATGAAACACTAGATGTTTCAGAAAAAAATACACCATTTAAATAGATTTATTATTCTGCCAAGATTTATATAAATTAAAATTCACACTTGGAGGAGGGTTTGGGGGGGAAGGAAGTATAATTTAATTTGCTAAGTGACACTGGAAGATTTCTTGTGAACTGTAAAGAGTCTGATGAAAAAAAGTTCCTATTTTCATTTCATCCTTTTTTAGGGCACTGAGAGATGGCAGGTGAAGAAAGTCTGACAGAACACCTTGTGCATTGGCACAGAAGGAGCATAAAGTCTTTCACATATCCATATTCTGAAAATTAATTCTTTTCAACTGTTACAGTGGGAACACGATATAATGATTCCTCCAGGTCTGCTGTTACAACGCAGCAGTTCTGTCTATTCCCTGCAGCCCAGGTTCAGCCTGCTGCTGATTGTGCTTGTCCATGACCAGTCCAGCTGTCAAAAGTGAGGGCTCCGAGATTTATGTTTGAGCATGTGTTCACCTACTTGTCCAGGTAGGATCTCCAGTGGCATTGCAGTGCTGCAGTGCAGAACTCACTGAGTTGCTAATTTCTGTCCCAAATTTCCTAAACCCCCAGAGCAGGAAGGAGCCAAGCCTTGGCTCCAGCAGGTATGTACAGCACACTCCTGCCATGAGCTGTGCCATTCAGACCACAGTTGCACTATCATAGGTAAGAAATAGTTTATGAAAGTGTTTTATTGAAAGTGAAATTGTAGCCTCAGAAGTTGTGGGTGTTGGTGAGGAGAGTGTGATCTCTGCTATTTCTTGTCATTCCCATCTCCAGTCAAACACAGCCTTGTTTATTCTTCAGGATGTCAAGTTTCAGCATGACAGCTCTGTGCAGCATGTTTAGCCACCAGGAAGGAAGACCTCCAGGAAGGAACCCTTGAGAGAGACTGAGAGCAGCCACAGTTCCCATCTGCAGCACCCAGGCACTCTCCAGCACAACCCCTCACCCATCTTCTTGTCTCCCTGTATTAATGGCTCTGGCAGCTGAGAGCCATGACTCATTCACCATTCTGCTCCTTACTTTCCCTCTGGCCATAGAAGAGAGAACAACATCTTCTTCTTCCCTTTTCATCCTTTCGGAGCATGTCCAGATGTATTGACTCTTTCTTCTTTTGTTGTCCCTGAGTCTGTGTCTTTCTCACGCACCTTCTCTGAGCTATTGCAGGACTGCTTGGGGTGTTCAGGGCTGAGCTGGGCTCCAGCAATGCCAGCAACACATCCAGGCAGGCTCCCAGACACCCCAAATCAGTGGAGCATCAGCACCTGCTAGTGGAGGTGGTGGATGCTTGGCTCCCTTGGCTGTCACCGTTCCTGGCCCTGGAGCCTCTGTCCCTTCCCTGAGCAGGCAGGTGCTTACCTCATCCTCAGTTCACCTCCAAACAGGCAGCAGTGTTACCCACAGTCAGCTGGAGGACATGCAAGGGGAGTGGTGCAGGGCAAGAAGGTTCCTTTGCCATTTCGGCCTGGCAGCTCCTCCCCAGCTTCTGCCCTTTTCCTAATATTCCTAGTTTTCCCTATCCTTTCCTAATCTGGGGAATTGGAAAGGAGTACAACACAACAACAACAACTCTGTTGTCTTAAGCATCACTGTTTTAGACACAAACTCAAAGTATGGCACCCCATGAGATGCTGTGAAGAAACTCAGCCCCATGCCAGCCAGACCTCATACACACCTGTGTGGGCAGGGATGCTCCTAGCTGGTCACACCTGGCCTTCAGACAAGGCAGGGCTTGGCCAAGGCTGGGCACTGTGGGCATCCAGACAGGCACAAAACACCAGGAGGTGATCTTCCCATGCCAGGTGGCTGATGCAGTGAGCAGTGCTGGGTCCTGGAGATAGCAGGGCAGTACACAGGTTCACAGGAGCTGCTGTGCATCACCATGGAACAGCATGCCATGCAAAGAGATGGCAGGGGTAGAAGGAGCAGCTCTGTGTTGTATTCAGTCACATCCCATAGAGGAAGGAGGTTTGCTCTGTGCTAGTCCCCATACACACACACATTTTAACAGGCTAAACTGGGATGTGGAGCCACCAGCTGCTCCCAGAGTGTAAAGCCTGTGGAGGGTGGTCACTCCTCACAGGGTGTGAGCTGACCCCTGTGGAATGACGTGAATAATGTCTCAACTAGAGTGGACAAGAGGTTTGTTCTTTGTACCTGATCCTGTGTTTAAGGATGTTTGGGAGTTTAAACTGGCAGAGAGTTTCAGGATTTGTCTGATGTATGACTGTATGTAAATTGCTGTGGCAACCACCACATTTCACGTGCTTGAGGCATTTTCCTAGATTCTGCAAGAAGCTGTAGCTGTGTTTATTTATGCAGCTCAAAGTCAAGTTCCATTAAGCTACTGGCTGTTTTGGTTTTTTAGTCTCTCTTTCCCTCTTCTTACCACCATCCATTTTAGCTCTGCATTTTTCTTTTCCTTTTCAAACACATGTATTGTTTTGAAACACAGGCCCTTATTTCTACCAACCCTCCCTTTTAATTACAAAAGAAATCACAACTTAGAACAACTCTTTCTTGACACAGAACGGGTAGAGTAGCACTGGAGGAGTTGTTATCATGTAGTTCACTTAAACTCACTTGGAAATTTTGAAGTCTGCAGTGTTCAAGGCCAAAGATCCTGAGTTCTCACGATTTCATGAAATTATTTATTATTAAATGAACATAAATCTTTTGGCTTGGACTATTTTGCTGTAGTGTGTAGAATAGTACTGTGTCTTTTAGAGGCTTGGTGGCTTGGGGAATTTAATACTTAGTCAGCATCCTTCTGCTTTTTGGTTCCTTGTTTCATACAAGGACATCTGTTACAGCAGAGCTCAAATTCAGGCAAGCATTTAGGAGATTATTAAGTATACTTAGGTATTAAATGTGAATTATCTTTGAAATAACTACCTTAATTAAGATCTAGAAGCTGCTTAGTGGACCCCAGGCTATTAATAGAGAAGTCATTTTACAATAAAAACCATGGTCAGATAAGTTTCTTTATTTGCTCTCTATATGCTGTGGACACTAGTGATAGCTGCTTCCTTAATTTCCCCAGTGTCTTCAGGCAGAGTTATTTAGGGGTCTCTGGAGAACATCTAGTCCAAGCACCTATTTAAAGCAAGACTAAATTCAAAATTTGGTCAGGTTGCTCAGTGCCTTGATCCAGTGAATTTTGAGAATTACTAAGGATGGAAATTCCCCCATGCAACCAGATCCTTCTTCCAGGGCCTTTTCCATCATGAACCAGTTGGATGTTGGTGCCACAGTGAGATTGATCCTCAGCCTTCCTTTCTCTGAGCCAAACAAGATGACAAACCCAGCCCCTTCCTCAAGTGCCGTTTGCAGCCTCCAGTCATTTTCATCATCCTCCAGTGGATCACAGAATAGAATCATAAAACTAGAGGATGGTTTGGGTTGAAGTAGACTTTAAAACCACCTAGTTCTATCCCTCCTGCCATGGGCAGGGACACCTCCCACTAGACCAGGTGGCTTGGAGCCCCATCAGCCTGCCCTTGATCCAGGGATGGGGCATCCACAGCTTCTCTGGGCAGCCTGTGCCAGTGCCTCACCACCCTCACAGTAAAGAATGTTCTCCTAATATCTGATCTAAACCTACCCTTCTAAGCCCTTCCCCTTGTCCTATCACTACATGCCCCTTTAAAAAGTCCCTCTTTCTTGTAGGCTATAAAGCCTCCCCAGAGCCTGTTCTTCTCCAGGCTGAACAGCCCCAGCTCTCTCAGGCTTCTTTCTTGGACAGGTGCTCCAGCCCTCTGATCATCCTTGGGGCCTTCCTCTGGCCTCGCTCCAACAGGTCCATGTTTCCCATGTGCTGAGGACTCCAGGGCAGTACTCCAGGTGGAATCTCACAGGGGCAGAGTAGGGGGGAAGAATCCCCTCCCCTGATCACAGCACTGTGTCAATAATTTTCTTGCATGGCCCTGCTGCATTGGGTAGGCGTGCCCTAAGGAGATGAAAAAAATAGCATTATTGCTCCATGAACAATAGTTTTTCTTTTAATTTAGGATGTGTACTTTACCTCCAAACCACCACTGTGCTTTCTGAGAGTATGGAGTGTGAAGAGTAAAGTCTTGGTGTCTTAATCTAAGAAAAGTTGTGACACTGTATTTCCCAAAGAATCTGGGAAGCAAAGAGCATTCCATTTTCCCTGCTCACTGCCAAAGTGTTGATGATTATGTGCTGGACCTACTGAATTTCACAGCATAGTGTGGTCCACGGATTACATACAGACTGCAAACGTATTTGATGACAACAATCCCAGATTTTGTCTAGTTTCACCTTAAGTCAGTAGGACGATTTCCATTGACTTCTTTTGAGGTTTTTTTGTGATGAGTGTCTGCTATTATCGTATTGAATTGATGGTTATTTTTATGTAGTAATGGAGCTTTAGCTAAGAAATGTCAGATTTGTTTATTTCTTTCCGTCAGTGACATTTTATGTTCATTAATGATACATCTAAACTAGAGAAATAGAAAGGAGAGTGAATTGTATAGCTAAAAAAAAAAGTTGGTTTAGCTACCAGCAATATGCCAGCATGTCTGCAAAACTCCACTTAAATTCAGTAAGTAATTGAGCTTATCTCCTCATACACAGGACACTATTATTAGCAAAGCATTTAATTAGCTGTCTACTGAATTACAGTTGAAAGCCAAACACCTCCTCTGGCATTTCCTGAGAAGTCTGTCTGTAGTTCTCAGAGCAACAATTTTGGGATTGCATGTGGCTGAGTAAGATTTTACTGCAGGAAGCTTTATCATAAGCTTACATGTATTATTATTGCCAGCCTAAAAAAGCACATTTTTTGAAAGTTCCTAAGGCAAAATTATGCTGATTTGGCTTCATCTATGAAAGAAAGGGTCTAGAAAATGGCCCAAAAAGGTAATATGTAATATGTAATGTGTAATGTGTAATATGTAATATGTAACATGTAACATGTAACATGTAACATGTAATATGTAATAGAAACCTTCAGGATACTTTAATTTGTCCAATACCATTTATCCTGCCCCTGCTCCAGCACAGCTAATGAATGAATGAGGGGCTTAAGAAAAAGCTCTTGAGGAGCATCCTCCAGGTATTAGAAAAATTCCAGATGGAATTAAGCTGAATGGCAAGGAGGATGTGTTGTGGAACTGATACAGGAGGTGCTGACTTCAACAGACATCAGGAATGTGCTCGTGGCTCTTGGTGATGGCAGGAGAGGCAGTGAACTGGCATCTCCTGTGCAGAGCTCAGCACTTTGCAGAATTGGGTCCACCTGCCACTTGAAGCCTATCATCCCAAATCAGGCAACCACAGACTATTGAGCAAGGTGTGTTAACCACTGCCTTCCTCCATGAGGTAAAAACAAGGATTGTGATAGAGACAGGAATTCTGCTCTGGTTGCCAAAGCACTCAGCCAGTCCTAGTGGGAAGACTCCTGGTTTTTGTTTTCACTGAGCCATCCCTGGTGAATTTTGTGTGTGTGTCTCACAGATCAAGGCTCAGGATTGGAGTTAGCAGGGCTCCTCTTCCTCCCTGTCTGGCTGATGGGAGATCTTGGCTAATGGAGTAGGGTTGGAGGGTGTTCCTGCCTCACTAAGGGACTCCCATCATTAGGAGATCAAGACTTACTTGCCTAGATTATGATCTGTCCAGGACAGGCAGTAACTCCATTCATGCATTTTTCAGCACCTGGCAAACAGCATAAAAAAATAAAGTCAAGGCATTATTGACAGTATCCCACAAGTAAAATTAATATAGATAAAAATGTTTATTTTCATAACCTTTTCTCATAAATGAACCAAAATAATTGGCTTAATTTTAATTACCTCTATATATCCACATATATCCGTATATATTAGTAAACTGCTTTTATTTAATAGCATGATAACACTAGTAAGAGAAAATATGAAAACTTAAATTCATTAGGGAAACATTTTGCACTGCAATTAGATCTGATGCTGCTCAATGTGGGCTTTCAATTTGTTTAATTCACACTGATGTGCAGACAAGGCTGCAGAACAAGAAAAATATAAGCATACATTTAATATTAGCTACATTGTTTGTTCATGCCTACTTTAGTTAAAGCCTTGGTGCCATATAATTTCAGATTCTTTCCGTGTGTCCCTAATCAAATATTCATGGTTGCATTCACACTTACAGAAAGGATTCTGAAGCCTACCTTGAAGTAAACACAGGGAATAAGGCATATGTTCAGTCCAAACTTTGTTCTTGCTCATGCACATATGAGCTCTAGCAACAGCTACAGACAGTCACATGTGTGAAAATCAGACAGATGCTTCTAAGGCACAACATTAGTAGTGTGAACTTGTTGGACTTTCTAGGACTGAGACACAGAACACTATGAACATGTGCAGTCCTCATTTCCCATTTTAGCTAGGGAATGGGAAAATGTATTTAGCCAAGAGGACAGATCCACACAGAAAACATTATCTTCTAGATCCAATTTAGCAGGAAATTATGTCCACTGAGTTCAATGGAGTAACATTTGGGTTTCAGCCGAGGGGCTGCTCTTCAACAACAGCTTTCAGTCGTCATTTCTAGTTGGGGAAGAAGTGCAAAACCAACTATCTTAAGATATACTACAAGCATTTAATTCTGCTTATTTCATTATTAAGGCGTATTAAATATCACTAATATTAACTTGTACATTAGTAAAACTTATTTTAATATGTGATTAGGCTTTTGTCAGTGGAATAGAAAAATATAATTTGGTGTACATCAAAATAATTTCAAAAAGTAAGAGTGTTTGAGCATAAGTAATTTCTAAAAAAATCTTTATAACACCTGTCAAAGTTATTTAGCTCCCTAACTTTGCCTGTGTTGAGCACTTAAGTCTTACTCATACAATCATTTTCATGTCTGGTACTATGTTCTTATATAGGTTGCTACTGTAAAAAGAAGTAAATTTGGTGGTGCTATGTATTATTTATGTAGCACCCTAAGTAGAAAGAAAGAAAACTGACAAAATCCAACCTTACCTTCATTTTAATTCCTTGGGAAGAATGTTTCATTATTTTTCCCCCTCTTTGAAGTGCCAGGTCTCTGAAATCTCTTTTTAGTGATACAGATGAAAAATAAATGCACAGAGGAAGGAGTCAGCGTGCAGAATTGGAAGAACACAAGACGTTTTGAGGCCGTGCCATGCAGGGGGAGGGGAGCAGCATCTCGGAGTGGGAGGCTGTGTGTGCTGGGCAGGAGTTTCTCTCATCGTCAGTGAGCCAGCTGTTATGGCAGATGATCGTGCTGAATTTCAGGTCATTTGATAACTAGGGCAGGCAGTGCGTTTTGCAGTTCAGCTTGGGTGACACGTGGATTAAGGACTTCATCAGCACGGTGCAGAATTGCTCACATATCTCGGGTGCCCAGGTGGGCTTGTTCTGGGGATGGAGAGGGGGTGTTCAGCCAGGTCCCATCCTTGGCAGCTGGACAGCAAGCCTTGTCTCCTGTTTGTCACTCCTGCATGCAGGAGATGTGCAGGACATTGCTAGTTTTTCAGCTTTATGATGAATGACGTTCTCAGTGGTTCTTATTTAGGCTATCACTTAAATCTGCAGGCAGTTTCTGCTTGGTCATGAATGTGAATTGTGGTGCCACCTTCCAGACTTGCAAAGAAATGCTTATACCCATGTCAGGGAACTGCAAGGAAAGCTTCCCAAATCCTTTGGTGGCTTGGCAATACCTGAGAGCAAACTTATGGGGAGGGGGGAACCCTTACAGAGCCATAGAGAGGAGCAGTCCAGCCGTGCTCCTTTGTCAAACTGCTCGAAAGAAAAGTGGCAAGGCTTGCTCAGGGCCAGGATTAATGTAGCATTCTGGGGAAAGCAGCTGGAAATATCACGGTTATTTTCTCAGCTTGGCAAGGTTTTAAGCTTTAATGTATTCCCAGAAGAGTCAAGCAAATCTTTGGTGTAAAGAAGCACATAAGCAATAATTTTGGATTCCTAGAATTTTAGTCAGAAGAGATTACTAAAGCCATCCACTGTAACCTCTGTGTTCAAATCTTTGGAATTCTGAACACAAATTCTTTACCAAGTGAAGGTAGACTTTAGAAAGCCACTGTCTGGATGTAATAACTTCTTGTGACAGTCTACCACTTCCCCAGGTAAGTTTGCCCAGCTGGCTCATTACCATCACTGGTAAATAAAATACAGTGTTTGAAAGGATACCTCTTGCTCTGAAAGCACCAAGCTGCCTTGCTGATACTGATACCCAAACCAGAGTGTGCAGTCATCTCAGCACTGGGTGGAATGTGGCCAGCCTGCTCCACCTAGGAGACAGGCACTGAGCAGGGCTAAAAGAGGATGCTGGGGAGCTGAAACACTGGTATAAGAAATGTAGGAATAAAGGCAGGACTGCTGTAGGTTTTAAGAAACAACCTTGAAGAGATTTTTTGGTCTGAAAAAAGGCTGGTTTTAATGTAATTTAGAAGGTTGCATTTGCCCTCTCCCCCCCAAAGCTTCTCATAACATTCTGAAAAGCATCTAAAATTTGAAATGGTAAAAAATTTATGGAGAAGAAAGATTGGGGATTTAGGTATTTTGGCAGAGAGCAGGCTGCTAAAGGTGCCTGTCATATTAGAGGTGGCAGCTTAGACTTGTTTCCTGTCTTTCAAAGTGAATATACCCTCTAAGGCCAACCAGCTATTTTTAACTCTTATTCTGGGAAGATTTTTTTGTCTATATTGGGAGGAAAGATATATGCTCTGTGTCACAGTTGTCTCACCACCACTTAGCTCTCCAGCCTCCTTTCAATGATGAGATAGATAACAGGACAGAAAGCTGGTCACCCAAGCTCAGGGGTGAATAAACCTCCACTCCTTATTCTGGGGGAAGAACAGGGAGGGGGAAGGCTGTTTGATTTATCTGGAGAGGTCCCATTGTGGAAGGTCAGGCAGAGCCTAACAGGTATCTGCTGCTCACTGCAAGGCTTTTTCTGGCACACCCAACGTGAGTCACAGTGCCGAGCAGAGTGCTGAGCCAAGATGCAGCTTGGTACTGGGTTTTCCAAACCCTCCCTGAATCTATGGGTAATTTGGTAGAGTTTATGGCTTAGTCTCTTAGGATTGGACTCATCCCAGCTATATTTATAGAACTGAGTCTCACCAGGCTTGTGTAATTAGTGGAGCGACACTGCCAGGGAGGATTCATCCCTCTCTTAGATTGGCACTGATAACTGAGGAGGGTGGTGTTGCAATTAGAAGTTTGCAAAGCTGAAGTACTTTGAATTGTGCTTGTTAGCTTCTTTACAGGAGTCTGAGGCTTTTTCTTGGGCCTCAGGCTTTCTGCATCATAGAAGTTCATCATGGTTTCCCAAGAAGTGTCTGTTTACACTCTCAAGGAACAGAATGCATTTTGAAGTGAATCATAATCAGTTTGAAAGTTTAAATTAATTAAAGTCGAGTCCTCTGAGAAGTATCAAATGCATGCCTGCACGTCCTTTATACCAAATGATGCTAATAGCAGTGCAGCAGACTTCAAATTTCCCCATCAGTTAAATTGATTGAAATTTTTTCATAGAAGGCAATTTAGAAAGCAATATAGTGTAATATAGGTATGTGACTATTTAATTGTTACAATACTACAGGCTACTGGCAGACAGCAGCTTAAATAACTTGTAAGTGAGGTGACTGTCATGAGAAATGGCTGACTTACCAGCCTTCATCTTTCCTTCATCTGTGCATCTTATTCTGCTCTTAGCAGTGCCCTGCAAAGAAAAGATATACAAAGTGCAAGCATATCTTTTAAATATTGTTTAATTTAGTACCACAAACACTGACATGATTTAATCAGAGCATATTACTAGAGAATGGCATCAGTACAAGATGCTCCAATGCAGATAATTTTCTGGTAACTGTAATTTTTACTTGAGTTGTCAGGGGTTTTCTGGGCTTAGTTTGTGAGACTTGCATTTGCCTGGAATGCTTCTTGCTCTCTGTTTCTTAGCAGAAACTTCCAGTCTTCCAGTCATTCCATTTAAAATGGTTTGTAACTGGAAATATTTGTTTGCTAGTTCTGAAATAGATGCTGTGCCCGGTGAGTCTTCTCAATCCCATGGGTGAGTCTTTATT